TTGGCGTAAGTGCAGAGAAGGCGCTGCGTTGATTTTCCCTTTAGACAAAACTCCTTCCTTTGACATCTTTTAATATCCGATTCAACATATTCTTCTCCTTAATTATATATATACCATATTTATGGTTTAACATCAATAATTTTATCGCAAAGACATTGATCATATTTTTGATTCAAATATTCATTGAAATTATATCGATAATCCTCCATTCTAGCTAGACAAATATTACTAATATTGTCTACTATTTCTCTTGACTCGTCAACAATATCATTGTCAATCGCGGATTTTAATATATCCAATCGATCAAATAAACTTAATTCGACCAAACTGTTACTAAATTTCTTCCAAACCAATATATCTTTAAATTTCTCATAAACTCGCAACACATTCTATAAGTTCCCCAAAGATCTGAGAATTTGTCCCATCCATTCTTCTTTTGAAATCTGGACAGATAACGCTTCCCTTCTTCATTTTTTGCAACCAAATTGATGCTGATTGTGCACAAATAACCGATATTAATACATTTATAGCACCGCATCTGCAAATAAAACCATAATTTGCATTAGCGACTCAATATTAATGATAAATATTAATCATGCATCGTATCTTCTAAAACTCATTCTTATTTACTAGAACCAAATCTCCTACTTGAACATCTAGTTCTGCAGTTTTCTCGTCATAATATTGTTTATTTTTCAACTGTCTTTCCCACAAATGTTCTTTTGCTATTGCTAACGCTTCTGCTATTTTATTGCGTGTTGAATCAGCAAAATTGTCATAGTTGTACATCAATTTAGGTCTTGTTAACTGACTTGGTAATTGGATTCTAAAGCCATGGGCCAACTCATGTGGAGTATAACCCGTTGTTGCACTGACTGTATTATTGTATACAAAAGTTGCATACTTCAAAAGTTCGTCCCAGTTATCTCTATTCTTTGTTGTATAAGCACGCAAAAATGCATTGTAGACTTTATGTTGGCGCTCAACTTTATTTGAATTCGCATGATATGGTGTAGAAAACACCTTTTTTATCGAAAACAAATTCGTTAGCTCTTTAATAACCTGTGATGTAAAACTCGTTGCATTATCCGAAATTAATCTCGAAGGAATGTTATATCTGCAAATAACATGTTCCAAAAGACATTTTGCAGCTGTTAAAGCTGTAGCATCCTTTGTAGCGACTGCTATTGCCATTCGAGTTAAATCACACAGAGCTGAGAAAATATAGCGGTTACCATTCCTGCTAACAGCTATTGGACCAACATAATCGATATATGTGTGATCGAATAAAGCCTCGCCAAGACTGGATATTCCCATCGGAATTTTAGTATTTCTAATTGTCTTGGTTTTTTCACAAATCTTGCACTTTCTTACGTAATCACCAATGATGTCGTGCATGTTTTTAAAAGAATAGAACTTAGACAACGTTGCTTCCAATTTATTCCTTCCAACATGACCACCAACCAAATCTTCGTGATACAACTTTAGAATTTTATCAATATCTTCCTGTTCCGTTAGCTCTATAATTTTGTTTAAAAAGAACGTTGTTGCTATATTTGTGGGAGCAAAAACATCAATAAACAATTGTTTAAAATAAAAGTAATGACGAATATTATCATAATCTATATTAACTGCAATTATTTCGGCATTTTCCTCTTTACATTTCGCACAAATATCATTTATACAGTTCAAAGTATCTTCATTGTTCTGTATGTTTGCAAACTGATTCGAGATCAATCTCGCGTAATGAAACTGACTAAATTTTTTGAACGTTGAATTGAAATTAACAATTCCATATTTATCCGTTATTTTATTTCTCAAAACGTCATTTTCCGTTGGAATTAGATGAAAAATCAAATCGTAACCCCTTTTATGTAAAATTGTACCATTTTTCTCTTCTACAGTATATTTTAATTCATTGTACTTTCGATTCAATTCACTATCCGCTTGACCACGCGTGAATGCAAGACACTGTATGTCTCTTTCAACTTCAATCCTTTCTTCTATACTCATAGGTTCAACGCGAGAAAGCGCGTCCGCAACGTGATTTTGAGCTCCTGGTCGATATAATATTTTATTATTATAGTCCAAAAGTTCCAATTTTTGACGAAACAATCGAGAACCCGGATCCTTCATATTAAACAAGTAACAAAGCGGTTTGTGATCCGTTATCAAGACAAAATAACGACCATAAAGATAAACTCTGAAAGCTTTTACCGATTCTACAATCGCTAATAATTCCTTTTGGATAGTAGAGTATCTTTTTTGCGTTTCCGACAATGTTCTACTGAAAAAATACACTGGTCTGTCATTTGGTAATTCCCCCTGAGACAACATACCAGCTATACTTATATCAGAAGCATCAGTTGTTACATAAAAAAGCTCATCAAAGTTTGGAAAGATCAAAGTTACTTCATCCGTTAAGGATTTCTTCAATCCATCAAACGCTTTTTGTTGAGCTTCCGTCCAAACGAAAGGCTGATCTTTCTTCAGAAGTATCGTTAAGGGTTTTGCAATTTTAGCAAAATTCCTGACATAACGTCGGAAATATACACACAAACCCAGGAAAGATTGTACTCCCTTCACTGTAGTAGGTCTAGGGTAAGATTTTATTGCTTCAACCTTCTTTGGATTCGCTCTTATGCCATCATCGGAAATTATATGTCCCAAATATCGGAATTCCTTTGCATAATATGAACATTTTGCTATTTTAAGCTGTAAATTATGCTCTCTTAAGGCTTCCATTACTTCCCAAAGAATCTTGTCATGATCTTCTCTTGTCACCGCATAAACAATGACATCATCCAAATACACATAAACTCCGTTGGCAATCAAATTGACCAAGATTGTATTGATGGCGCGTTGCCAGGTTAAAGGAGCTGTAGACAAACCCATTGGCATACGCTTCCATCTGTATTTAAAATCACCCGCCGTGAAGGCAGTACAGTCCCTTGAAGCCTCATCCAAGACAATTTGATGAAAAGCTCCCTTAATGTCTAAGGTTGTGAACATTTTACAACCACTTAGACCATTCAAAATATCATCAATTAATGGGATTGGAAAATTCTGAATCTCTATTACTTCGTTCAATTTCTTGTAATCAACAACAAATCTATAATCGCTCATACCTCCTGCATCGTCTTTTTTGCCGACTAGCAGTACTGGCGAATTGTAAGGCGATTGGCATTTTTCAATGATACCCTGTCTTTCATAATCTTCAACTATCTGTTTCAATGGAGCTTTATGCGCATATGGTATCTTGTATTGACGAACATTTACTATTTTTGCATTTGGAACTAATTGTATTTTATGTTCAATAACTGTGGTACAACCCAACATATCTCCTTCCAAATAAAATTGATAGGGAAATTCATGACACAATTTTGTGACATAATCTATTTCATCTTTAGAATTTTTCGACAAATCCAATTTATCTATTAGGATAATCTCTGCTCTAAAGTTTTCGACTTCAGTGCTATTATATAATTCGATATCTCGTATATCACCAGATATACCAAACTTTGCTTTTACTTCAGCAATATATGCAGGACTTTTATTTAGTCTTACAAATTCGCATTTATCGTACCATAATGCATGTTGTTCCCATGGATCATCATCAGTGACCCAATCACATAAACCACCACCACAACAAAAGCATACAACACGATCATTCCTCCAAATATAGAAGAAACCTGCGTCGCTCATCCTTTCCGGAGTTATAAATGCATCCTTCGTCCACTTGTTTTCAAATGATCGAAGGCGAGCTCTGTATGTGGCAAATTCTGGGAAATCTGGATGTTTGACATGTGGTGTTTCTACAACAATTACCGTCTTAGGGTCTATCGTTCTTTGTTCAATATCAACTGAATCTACATCGTTTTTCAGCTTATTTAGTTTTGAAAGAGGTTTATAAATATGTTTTGTACCACCACGTATATTATTTTTTATTCGATTTTCAATTATTTCATTCGATTGTACTTTTAACTCTTCTTGTTTCTCAAATTCCTCTTGATAAAAATTTGCGGCCTCAAAATATTCTGTAAACATTTCCAAATCTTTATCATTTAATTGTATTTCGTACAAAAACGTTTTCCTTACACTATTCAATTTTTTAGGCATAATATTTTCTTTATTTGACATTGGTTTTTCAACATTTGACATTAATATTTCATTTTTAGACATTGCTTTTTCAACTTCAGATACAATATTTTTCTCATTTGACACTGACTTTTCTTCATCTATGGTCTTTTGATCATTTGACAATTCTTCTTTATTTTTTGATTCATTTTTGTTCACTTTTTTCGCTTTTTTCTTCAATTTTCTATTCAATTTCCTCTTCGTATTTTCTTTTTCAATATTCAAAATTTGATTCGACCATAACGTTATATCTTTTATGCTTAATTTTGCCATATCTTCATTCAAATTAACCAATTCTTTTTCTTTTACTGATTTGGTTTCTGTAACTTTTCGGATTGAATCTACATTGATCCTTAAGCATAGATCGTTCATGTCTATGATAACTTTGTATGATTCGAAAAAGGTATGACCCAAAAACCCGTCTGCTTTTCCTGCATATTTTCGATCAATCAAGTGTAACGTAGTTCCCAACTGTCGTCCCTCGAAATCGAAAATGCCATGTACTAAGCCTCTGGTCTTAATAGAAATCTCCTTTCCAACTAATCCATACAAATTAACAATGTAATTCTGCCTTACTATGTTTTCTGAAACCAAATCGTCAGCAAGCAGAGAAATTGCTGCTCCAGTGTCAATCATTAATTTTAGTGGCCGTTCCGATAAATTTGATTTCAAAAGAATAAAAGGTGCCCCATTTTCATTAATTATATCATGTTTAATTATTGTTTTTTCTGTTTGATTTTCTTCTGTATTTGTTTGGATTTCTTTTGAGATTTCAAGTATCTTTTCATTATTTTCATTTGTTTTTAAATCTATCGATAAAAGTGTATGGGATGGAATAAGTTGGCCTTCATATTCCATCCGTTTTAGTTTTCCTTTTTAGAATCAATGACGTTAATCGCTTGTGCCTCTGTTTTTGCAACAGCGTTATTCGAAAATTGATTTGTACGACCAGATTGTTGTTGATTCTGACCCTGTCTAAATCTACCCTGATCAGATTGATCATTGTTCCGGTTGCGATTTACATTACTCGTGTCAAATCTGTTGAAATTGCCATTATTTCTGTTTTGATTCCAGTTGCCATTGTTATTGCTGCTATTATTACCATCATTCCAATTTCGATTCCAATTACGATTCCAGTTATTGTTATCATTACGATTAAAATTCCAATTACGATTATTATTTGACCAGTTACCGTTGTTATTCCAATTATTCCTTTGGAAATTACCAAAGTTACGTCTATTATTTCCAAAATTATTGTCAAATCTGCGGAAATTCTGGTTATTAAAGCCGTTAAAACGATCAAATCTATTAAAATTTGAACGAATCGGACCATTCATGAAACGCAAAGCAGAAATAATTTTATTTAAATCATTATTGCGCGCATTTTTGTTTCTGCAGTCCTGCTCACGGTGTCCGTTTATACGGCAAAAACCACAAAATAGCTCATTCCGCGAAATATTGTTTAATACATCATTCTCTGTTTCTATCGCATAAGAAATAGCATCTTCCAAAGTGTTGGAGCCACGAGTCAACAGACGATCTCTTAGCCTGTTACTCTTAATTCCCTTTGCAAATGATTTACGAGCCAATCTGTTATGCTCAGATTTTTGCTCTTCTGTTAAATGATTATAGACTGAATTTTTTTCCAATAACAGTTTTCTAGCTCTTTCTGCGTATTTAGTCAAACTTTCGTCTTTTTCTTGACATAAATTCTCAAGTTGACTTGTCAAAATATCTTTATTTGACAAATAAGCAAAATGTGATCGCAAGGCGTCTTTTATTACTCTCCAACTCAAATTTTCGAGTTGAGTGATGACGTTTCTGGCTTCGCCACGCAATCTTAACATCATTTGCTCAAAGAATTCGCGCTCTTCAACATCGCTTTCTATTGAACTATATAATGTTTCACAAGTGTCTATGAAATCAGTTAAGCTTTGGAATGATTCACCATTAAATTTTGGAATATCGTATAAACGTTTCAAAAATGATTTTCGAGGTTGTGAATTATTCCCCATATATTGTGGTATGTTCGAATTATTTGGTACAAAACCTGAATCCTGACAATTTTGAATTGGATTGAAATTGTTCGTATTACTGGAATTTTGCCAATTCTCCTGAACATTGAAACTTCTTATTGGGTTATTGGAATTCCCATATGGAACCGGTGCAAAATAATTTGAACTTTGTGATAAATTGTTGGAAAATTGTTCTTGTTCACGCTGATTTACTGCAAACGTGACATTACGAGGATTTACAAACGACACTTTTCGTTCATTAGAATAATTCTGTGCCAAAATACCTCGCTGAGGCAATTCATTGCCACCAATGTTCAAATTACCTTCCAATATATTACTTTGCTCGACTGGCTCATCCTCTTGAGGATAAAAGTTGGTTCTTAGCTTTCTATTTGCCGCTTTAGTCGAACTTAGTATACGTCTTGGTGTAGCAACATATGATGAAAATTGTTGCCCATTGTCATCTTCCTCCTCTTCTTCGATTTTGTTTAAATTCGAGCGAGAAATATTACCATCATTTAATTTTGTCACTCTAGAATTTTTTGGGATTGCACCCGTTACGGAACTTCTTATTTTCGCATTCAAATTCTCAATTCTTTTTTCGTCATCAAACATGATATCGGCAACCATATCTCCCTTTCTCTTTTTTGAGGCAATTACTGTAGGGTCCTCTGGATAAATAGTTGACATTTCTTCAAAAAGTGATAAATTACTTTGATTTGCCCGAATCATATCGAAAAACTTTGCCTTTTCTATTTTTTCTCTCTCAATTCTTGTATTCCTTTCCTCCGATGTTTCCGAAGGAATATCGGGAAATTGTAAAATATCAGAAGAAAATTTGGATGATTTACCAGTTGACAAAATTGGACCTTGATTAGATTGAGAAATGGTCACTGTAGCAGCAGCTCCCGAAACTGCAATTGACTCCGCAGTTGAAGCAATATTACTTCTAGAGATTTCTGGCAATTCTGGGTCTTCTGAACCCGAATTAATAGGTTCTTTTGGAGAATGTCCACCAAAATTCATATTACTTAGCAATTTTAAATGATCAGTTTCAGTTTCTTTCAAAGAAAGAATTTCTAAATTGATTTTAGCAAGCCTATCGTTAATTTCTTCAATAACGTCAGTTTTCAAAGTACTATCTGTAGATTTTGCTATTGTTTCTGTTACCAATTTATCATTCAATTCTCGTTTTTCTGCTAACAAATCACTAAGTTTCTTCTCACCTCTTTGTTCTTTCTTTTTCTCTTTACGCTCAATAATCTCTTCTTCAATATCTTTCAATTTTCTAGTTAATTTATTAATATCAGACTGAGTATTACCTCTTGGAGTATCGGTTTGATTTGAAAGAGTCTCTTTTAACCTCTTGATTTTGCTTTCTATCTTTTGTTTATCAGAGAGTAACTCGTAAATAGTTTTTACCCTATCTCTATATTTTGACATCTAACTTACATAAAATCAAACGAATACTAAAAAATCCCAAAGCACACTTAGATTTTCTGAGCACTTAGCGATTTTGAACGGTACATTAATAGTTCTTCTTCCGCTCAATTTCGCCCAGTTACTTATTTGCACAATACCGATTGAAATTTTACTCACTTTGTAAGTCTTATGTATCTAGCAATAGATTAAAAATGCTTCCAATCGATGAAAACTGATGTACTGGTTCTCTGGTCACAAACTCGTACTATAGGCCGTTCTCCGAAAAAATAATCTGCTTTTCCCTCGCTGAAGATTTCCGCACGATATTTCAGTATTCGAAGATATTTGATGATTAAGTTCCGCAAAATTGTCAAATTTACTCTATTTCTGCCCGATTCGATGTCCACAAAACAAAATAGTTGAATTACTGCTTCTTTTTGTCTCTATTTTTTTTTCGAAATTATTTGATTTAAACTTTTGATTGAAATATCTGGATAATTCCGTTGTAAAATACTTGGAAAATTATTATAAAACTGATGCAAAAACGTAAATAAATAGTTAAAAATGTGTACGGAGCTTGATGAAAAAACGTATAAATTTCGTTGAAATGTTCTTTGTATTTTGTTGAAAAATTGATAAAAGTCCGAAAAAATCGCAAAAATTCCGAAAAATCTCGAAATTCACTGTAACTGTCCATTTATTGTTGAAAAAAAATCACCGAAAATGTTTATCTGCTCATTATCCAAAACCTCACTCTTTTTTGGGAAAATTAACTTGTTTTTTGTGAAAAAGTGTTCAAAATCCGAAATTTATTCAATTTAATGTTGTTGTACAAAATTTCTAAGTCCGTATATTGAATTATTTTTCCGAAAATTTTCGTTTTATTCGATGTATTATTTCACTGAAATTGTCACTTTTATTCAAAAATCGATGTAAAATGTTGAAAATATTGCTTTAATTCTGTCCTTCAATGAAAAATCCACTAAATTCTTTCCACGAAAACTCGAAAAAATCGCTTTAATTCTGTTCTTTTAAAAACTCGAAAAAATCGCTTTAATTCTGT